GACACATATACTTGTACAAATAAAAGGAAAAGCAATAAACATATATTTTTAAAAACAGTAAAATGTAAATGATGCTCTAAAATATATAATTTATTGGAACTAAGGTAGAAAAATAAATATGAAGGTAATAAAAATAAAGTTCTCCTTTTTAGTTTAATTGGTGCATTTTAAGAATATGTATTATTTATTGGTCTGTTTTTATAATTATGTCAGTATCGGTCCTCCATACATAAACTGCTGGTAGTGACCAGAAAAAGACGTGGATGTGGGTCTAAATGAGTTTTCTCCACAGTGGACCGGAACACTAACAACAAAAACATCAGCATCGGGACCCAAACGGATCCAAACTTACGGTTCAGGATGTTTTCTAAACGCTGAGTCATCGACCCCGCCACCTTCTCCGTGCCGTCGGATTCCAGCTTCAGGTGGATAGCTGGAAACAAAATAAATGTAAAAAAATCAGAACGAATCCTGAATTACAGCACAACTCGTAACAAAAAGCCATGACCCTCAAACACCTTAGTCACGGTGACGAGACGTGTCGAAGTGACGGGACATTTTTAGCTGCAGGAACTGYGGGTCAAACAATAAACAGGCTCTGCCCCGGTGGGAGATGGGAGATAACCTCGCTGGTTCTCCGCCCACTGACGCCGCCGAACCRGCTTACAAACTGTTCCCACCGGACGAGGACACGACCTCGACCCAGACACGACCCCATTCGTCCGTCCGACTCTGGGGGTCCTGGAACATTTAAATCTCTTAACCAGGACATAAAGGGGGTTAATATTTCAGATTGAAGCGAACTTCTTGGGATTAAATTAAAAAGTCTGCTCAGCTGCCAGATAACTAAAGATATTAAATATTTATTTTTAACTACAGGACCTGGTACGAGTGGGTTTTTCTTTCGTTTAATGTTTGCTCTGGTTGTTTTTGGACCCGTCACTGTAACTTAAAACGCTTTCTGGGTGTTTCTGGTGCGATCATGGAGGTTTGACGGGCAAGACTCTGGATTCAGCAATAATGTACATCAGGGCTATTAAACTGATGGCCCGTGGGTCACATCTGGCCTGCGAGTGACCAAACTTRGGCCRGCCAATTGGTTCATTCATCTCTTAAGCCCAGAGCCCTGGTTTTCGACTTTAATTACTTTAAGTTCCTTTAGTCAAACATAGACATGTTTGGCGTCTACAGAAACATCAGAATCTTGGCTACAAGCTGGTAAAAACCATTTCAATGCACATCTAAGACGGTTCAAACTACAAGCAGTTGAAGATAAAACTATGAAAGTGAAAATAAAATTGTTTTAAAAATTTGTTAAGTCAGAGATGCCAAAATATTTGTGGTAAACAGGAAGTATAATGTGTTATTTTTGTTTTTTTATATTAATTACCACTACTTCATAGGGTTCTGTATGTTATATCCATGATTAAATGCAGCAAAATTAAGTATTTCAAAGGTAACAGATCATTGTAATACTTGGTTTATTTACATAATAACTTTAATTGCTAAGTGTTCAGCCCGTGAGCTGTTGATCTGCAGTAACTGTGGTCCCCGGAGAAATTTAGTTGAATAGTCCTGCTGTACATGTTGGTAAAAAGGTTCTGACAATGGCTGGGTCCAAATTCAGGGTCTGGGTCCTTCGAAAGACTCGGTTTACCTGGTCTAGGTGGACCGGGTCCTCGGTCGACCACAAAAACCGGAAAAAAGTGTCTGTGAATTTAGACGGTCTAGTCTTCTGCTTTATTCCCACCCTTACCCCGACATGCTGTATGTCCTGACGACACTAAACAGAAGCAAAAATTGATCAAAATGATCAAAATAAACATATTAGTATTTTATTATCATGAAACAAAACTGGCTTGAAACTTTTAATTTTTATACTCTCTCTCCCTTCATCCACCGTTGCTAGAGGAAAAATATCTCCGGTCGGCCCACAATGCATTATGGGATATGGTGGGCCGAGAAGGATCCATCGGACCCGTCCTTCAAATCAGAGGAGCTTTGAATCTGGACAGCCTCTGGTGTGACTCTGTGATGTTAGCTGCAGAAGAGTTCGGCCTTTAAAGGACCCAGCCTCTGAATTTGGACACAGACGATGTAAAATTTGTAAAAACTATTATTGATAATAAAAAAAAATAATATTTTAGTGT